AACCTGCAGTATGGTGAGTGGTAGAGTGGGTGAATGGATGAGTGAGTTGTTGTGACCTGCAGTGTGGTGAGTGGTTGAGTGAGTGAGTGAGTGGTCGAGTCAGTGAATGGTAGAGTGAGTGAATGGGTGAGTGTTGTTGTGACCTGCAGTGTGGTGAGTGGCTTGAGTGAGTGAATGGGCGAGTCAGTGAATGGGCGAGTCAGTGAATGGGTGAGTGAGTTGTTGTGACCTACAGTGTGGTGGTTTAACATAGCGTGGATGAGACAATAGTCTGTGTCTGGTAGACCAAGTCCTTAAAATTCGTGGAGAAAGCCATACGATTGAAGTTCACGGGATCAGCAACCATGGTAGTAGCGATATGAGTGATCAGGAGACGACTGACCCCCCATTGAGCGAGTGACTGGCGTGGATCTGAGAGTGTTGAATCGTCAGTCACATTGTCCACAAGATATATATTGCGCCCCATTTGGCCTGAACATTGTTTGACCATGTGTGTGTGTTTGAAGTTCGTATTGATACAACAGTTTAATAATTTACAATTGCGTATAACGTATTCAGCATAATAAATGGATACAACTTCATTTAATCAATCAAAGCGTGGGTATTCCCATCTACTGGACGTCTATGACCCCTACTGGACATCTGTGAAAAAAAAGCTTTGTAGCTCATCGGATTTTTCCGGTATAAATGCATAATTCTGATTCCTTGTTCCAACACGTCTGGCCAGTGTGAAAAAGTAGGCCAAATATTCCTCGAGAGAAGCCCTCTCTCTAGCTCCAGAAAGCTTCTCTCCAGACTGCCGTAAACCAGAGACGGCCTGTTTTGGTAAAATTAGAGTCAGTGGAGATATTGGCGATACACCAGTGGAGCATAACACACCGGTCCTCATAAATCAGTCTAACAATCTAAATTCGAATCAGCAAATCTGTTTATCAGTCTTTAATTGACCCTTTCACCAAGTTGGATGCAGTTTTAAGGTTTTTTTCTGTCTACTAAGATTTGCAACAACAAAAAAGGTCAACATTGACCATTGATTTGGGTCTGTGGAATCGAGGAACCCTTCGACCAAGTCTAGCGCACGAGGAGTCGAATCTCGCTGCCTTTGAAACACGGAGCAGCTAATCGTCATCAGGCCGGTTGCTGCTATATGGCAACAGACCGTGAAGCTTCATGTTCAGCCGCTTGTAATGTTTTGTCTTCCGACTGCTTCGACACCACGAGAACTGATTTTGACGAAAACCTCGCGAGATTTTCTGACCGTGGTTGTGAATTACGGGAAAATAAATGAATATTGTGAAAAAAACGACATATTATTTTTATATACCGCGCACCACATGTGTACCGCCAATACGTTCAAATGTTAAATGAGCAGGAAAAATGGAGAGAGAGACACGCGAGAGTGAGCACTGGCAGAGCACGTGCATGGCCGAGGAATCCAACATAACGGGTCATCGCCAATTCCCCGTGCAACACATGCACAGGGCAGCAACTGCTTGGGTAACTCTGCTTGGCTGCCATGTGCTGGCTTGCCGGGAGAAAGCGCGAGCTGACGCACGTGCGTGCTACTGACGCACGTGCCGGGAGCCCGTGACGACAGGGATGGCCTCGCGCCTGGTGGGTGTTGCGTTACTCAGCGCCCAGAGGTCACAGATGAGACTGCACACCCCGCCACAGGCTTCTGTTTACTACTATAATGAGCCAAGAATGTCTGTGTGTCCCGCGCGTGACGTCACTCCACGTGAACCAGCCCCCCTCAATAATAATCATGAACAGGTGATGTCCTCCACATGGACCCCCCCCCCCTCATTAATAATCATGAGCGGGTGACTTCACTCCACATGGGGGGGGGGGGGGGGCGAGGCGCCTTCTCCCCCCTCCTCAGCGTCAACTTATAACCCTCACTACAAAGGTAGAACCCTCACATCACGCGATCTCCGTAACGCTATTGAGACATAGAAGTAAAAAGGACGTCATGATGAACGAGGGATTATAACCTTTAAATGAAATAAGTCTGTGTCACCGCGGCCTTACAAAATGCACACGAATGGATGCAATGAATATCACGTCACGGTCTGCTTTTCGCTTGCAAGTTTCATATTTACTGCAATACACCCGTCCTTGGACGGGTAAAAAGCTAGTTATAAAATCTCGGCGTTCCATTTGTCTGTTAACTAAATTATCAGAGCCTTTCAGAAGGCCTGAATCTAAAAGTTATATAAAGTGGACCCCCCCACCAGATGTGGGGGTGAAAAGTTGGTCCAACAGGTTTACAAAAGTTGTCGACATCCCCCCAATTTTGTTTCACTCCCCATCCCCCCCTAAAATATAGTCAGTAGTATTTACAATAGAGTCGGTAGCATTTACAATAGAGTCGGTAGTATTTACAATAGAGTCGGTAGTATTTACAATAGAGTCAGTAGTATCTACAATAGAGTCAGTAGTATTTACAATAGAGTCGGTAGTATCTACAATAGAGTCAGTAGTATCTACAATAGAGTCAGTAGTATCTACAATAGAGTCGGTAGTATTTACAATAGAGTCAGTAGTATCTACAATAGAGTCAGTAGTATCTACAATAGAGTCGGTAGTATCTACAATAGAGTCGGTAGTATCTACAATAGAGTCGGTAGTATCTACAATAGAGTCAGTAGTATCTACAATAGAGTCGGTAGTATCTACAATAGAGTCGGTAGTATCTACAATAGAGTCGGTAGTATCTACAATAGAGTCGGTAGATTTTTACAATAGAGTCGGTAGTATCTACAATAGAGTCGGTAGTATCTACAATAGAGTCAGTAGTATTTACAATAGAGTCGGTAGTATCTACAATAGAGTCGGTAGTATCTATAATAGAGTCAGTAGTATTTACAATAGAGTCGGTAGTATCTACAATAGAGTCGGTAGTATCTACAATAGAGTCGGTAGTATCTACAATAGAGTCGGTAGTATTTACAATAGAGTCGGTAGTATCTACAATAGAGTCGGTAGTATCTACAATAGAGTCAGTAGGATTTACAATAGAGTCGGTAGTATCTACAATAGAGTCGGTAGTATCTACAATAGAGTCAGTAGTATTTACAATAGAGTCGGTAGTATCTATAATAGAGTCGGTAGTATTTACAATAGAGTCGGTAGTATCTACAATAGAGTAGGTAGTATCTACAATAGAGTCAGTAGTATTTACAATAGAGTCGGTAGTATCTACAATAGAGTCGGTAGTATCTATAATAGAGTCAGTAGTATTTACAATAGAGTCGGTAGTATCTACAATAGAGTCGGTAGTATCTACAATAGAGTCGGTAGCATCTACAATAGAGTCGGTAGTATTTACAATAGAGTCGGTAGTATCTACAATAGAGTCGGTAGTATCTACAATAGAGTCAGTAGTATTTACAATAGAGTCGGTAGTATCTACAATAGAGTCGGTAGTATCTATAATAGAGTCAGTAGTATTTACAATAGAGTCGGTAGTATCTACAATAGAGTCGGTAGTATCTACAATAGAGTCGGTAGCATCTACAATAGAGTCGGTAGTATTTACAATAGAGTCGGTAGTATCTACAATAGAGTCGGTAGTATCTACAATAGAGTCAGTAGTATTTACAATAGAGTCGGTAGTATCTATAATAGAGTCAGTAGTATTTACAATAGAGTCAGTAGTATCTACAATAGAGTCGGTAGTATCTGCACACATGAGGGGTGGGCGGGTGGACGAAGAGGACATCAGTGGTGGCGACAGGTGAGAAGTCCTCCACAGGAGCTAGAATAAGGCGGCCTGCGGGGGGCTTCCCGTGTAACAAAACTGTGCGTGCCTGCGTCTTAAGAGTCATTTTCGTCACTCCACTGCTGGACGAGTGCCTCTGCACGGCTCGTCAGTGCCGGGTGGTGAGCCGGGGGGGAGGGAGGAAAGCAGAGAAGTTCGGATGTCACGCGCCACTGATGTTAGCCGTGAGAGCTCAAGAGGCCAGGCCGAGTCTGATTACGCACGAGGGGGGACCTGGTGTCGCCCAAATGGGCGCAGCAAAAAAGCAATAAAAATTAGAACAAAAGTCAAAAGCAAAAAAACTGCATCACATGACGAGGAATGGAAATTGTTGCAATGAACACAATTCTCTGCAGCACAAATCAGCCCGGGCGGATTTACCTTCCAGATTGACCACAGTGAAAGTTACAAAACTAAGCTGCGGAATCCGTCTGAGTCATGGTTAGACTCCTGCAACGATCCCCTCTTTGGAACCTAAAAAAAAAAGAAAACTTAAAAGTTTTAAAGTTCTCGCACTCCCGAGGATCCGGAACAAACCTTGGCTCGAGTCGTCGCCTGGTCACCAACGGCGACCGCCAACTCGGCCACTGCTAGAGCCGGTTTGCCAGTACGGTGCAGAATCCAGGACGTTAACAACATTTCGGCCCTTCCGACAGCTCAACGAGAAACCGTCACACCCCAGGTCCATCATGAGCTGAAGGTTCACATCGCCGGCCTAGCTGGAAACCCGCTCAGCCAAGGTCTACCGCCAAACGTTCTAATCGGAGGTGCGGGAGGAAAGGACAACAAACTGAACACAAAAAGCAGATTTAACGAAATGAATTTTCAATGTAGATAATTTAAAAGTGCATACCTCCAGTGGCCTAATATCGGAAGGAAGAGCATTCCAGACGGCTGCAGAAGCGCATCCGATAGCACGCGATGCGGTGACCACCTATCGGGCGGGCAGCGCACCGTGACCACGGCTCCTTCCAAGATGGAAGAACTCCAAATGTGAATGCACACACGTGTGCTCCCGATAGCCGAGTTCAAGCGAATGGATTGACCAGCAGGCGCCCCACAGAGTCTTTGGAACCGTGGTGTTGGATCGACACTGGACAGATTGGTGTTGTTATTAAGAGAGAGCAAAGGTCGAGAATGCGTTCGTCTGGGAATCCAACCACTTCTAAACACTGCTTGCTTCTGTCCCCGCTGCCGGTTGCTGGACCCCCCCTCCCCTACACCATTTCCCATACAGGTGTCGCACTATCGGCAGTTTCCTCCCAACGTCACCAAGGTGTACTCGTACTTCGAGTGCCGGGGAAGAGGTCATGTCAGTAGCCAAGCAGAGCCCCACAAGTTCACCGAGTCGGTCTTCTTCGGGCTGCAGTACACGCTGAAGAAGTACCTCTGCGGTGAGTTCCAAAGAAGCGTCTGCAGGGTTTATCGCTGCTCCCTCGGTGACTGTTGCCGGGAACTTCGCTCGTTGAGTCCTCCACCCGTGTTGAGGTATCGCCCAGACACGGACGTTTTCGTCTCAACCACCACCACACTGTGCTCAACCACCACCACCACACTGCAGGTCAGCAGCTCACTCACCCACTCACTCAGCTACTCATACACCCAATCTCCCACTCAGTCGCCATACTGCAGGTCACAACAGCTCACTCACTCACCAAGTTACTCACACACCCACTCACCCGTTCGTTCACCATTCACACGAACGCATCTCAGGAACGTAACCCCCCCCGTTCGTCGAGGACTGCCTGTACGCGAATGGGCAGCGTGCAAGCAGCTGGTAAGCTTGTCGCGAGTGCCCGGTACCGAGATGACATGAGGAGATGACGGAGCTCAGAGACCGGTTGGATTCGTTGAGTGCAGGTCAGGTGGTGACGAGGGAGAAGATCCAGCAAGCCAAGGAGATCTACCAGCAGCACTTCCAGCAGGACATCTTCAACGAGGATGGATGGAACTACATCTTGGAGGTGAACGTGGACGGTTGTTTAGGTCCGGGTCTTGTAGGCGAATGATCTCCTATCAAGTCGGTATCTTCCGGTTAAATTCACCTCCTTGCTGTGTTGCTTCGTTGGCATGCGGCGGATTGTTCATTAGCTCTGAATTTGCTTGCGTCCATTCTTCCCATATTATCTCCGATTTAATTGGTATCTTGTCATGAGGCAGGGATTCCACTTGGAGCTCCCCTCCACCCCCTCCCCCCCGGTCCGTGAGCCTAGACTAGACGCAGTTCGATTTAAGTCTCCCCCTTTTAAGTCGTTTTGCAAATACGTCGTCACTTTATGATTAACACCGCCACCTGAGTTGTGTTGCCTCAACCCCATACTTATTTCGCTGACAGCAGTGCCAGGGTGGAAAGATGTTAACTACCTTACCTGGTATGCAGGAGGTCATGGATTCAATCCTGACCCTGGCGCCTGTATATTTGGAGTTTGTGTGTCTCTCTCTCCGTGGTCGCGTGGATTTTTCTCCAAGTCCTCCGGCTTTTCCATCCTCATTTAGACTCAACGTGTGTCCGGTACCACCTGGGGTGGCATAGCTTTCGCAGCTACAATTTCTTTGTGTGGCCAATATTCAGAAATTATATTGCTAACTACTTTGAAATGAGTGCGATTAGCAAATGATTCCCTCAAATTAGCCGTATGCATGAATTCTAAAGTTTTAATCACCTGAGACGGTACCCATTTCTGCCCGAGGTACTAGGACCCCCCACCCCCACGTTAGAGAACGGTCCACCGAAGCGGATATCGTCAAGGTACATCTGAGATTCCTTCATGATGATGAATATGATATATTTTTTTTTATTTTACCAGGTAAGGCCCACTCAGCTGTATAGTTATTTTTCATATGCGACCTGGCCACATATGATAGCTCAACGAAGTGACTTATCACGTGCAAATTTACAGCAGCCAAATACTCTAAACACACGTTCCTACTCCTACCAGGCGAACGGATTCCACTTAGCCATTTCCGTTTGAGATGGTGCTGGATGGGAGCATGAATATGATTATGATGACGACGTTGATGACGACAATGATGATGCTATGTTCATGGCAGCAGCACGGGGGTTGGCTCCCATTTCAGATCACGGCGGTGTCTTGAGGCAAGTGTGATGATGACGACGATGATGACGATGATGATGATTACGATGGCAATGATGGTGATGATGATGCTGCTGTGCTCGCGGTAGGAGCACGAAGGGCGGCTGCCGGTTCGGATCAAGGCGGTGCCGGAGGGAACCGTGGTGCCACTGGGGAATGTGCTATTCACCGTGGAAAGCACCGACCCCAAGTGCTTCTGGATCATCGGGTGGCTCGAGGTGAGTGGGGCGCTCCCAACCCCCTCCACTGCCTGCAGAGCCCCTCGGTGATGGGTGGTGAGATGTTATCTTCCTTGTCCTGGTATGCAGGAGGTCATGGGTTGGGTCTGAACCCTGGAGCTGTATATTTGGGGTTTGCATCAGTCTCTCTGTCCCCATGGTCACGTGGATTTTTCTCTGGATCCTCCGGTTTTTCCCTCCATATTTAGAATCAATATCACGCGTTTAGAGTATTTGGCTGCTATAAATTGCCACATCATAAGCCACATCGTCGAGATATCAAATTGCGGCCAGATCGCTTCTGAAGAAGAGCTACGTAGCTCAGTGGGCTTTACCTGGTAAAACAAAAATGGTAAGAAAATCAATTGTTTGTTTGTTTGCTGTACCCAACACAGACCATCCTGGTGCAGACGTGGTACCCCATCACCGTGGCGACGAGCTCGCGGGCGCAGAAGCAGCTGCTGGCGCGCTACCTGTGTCGGACAGGCGGCAGCCGCGGCCTGCTCGAGCGCCAGCTGCAGGACTTTGGGTACCGCGGGGTCTCTTCCCAGGAGGTGGGGCTGACCGCTGAAGCCATCGAACAAAGACGGTCACCGCATTTGCGCGCTTTCAGATGCACTTCTGCAGCCACCTGAATCGCTCTTCCTTCCGAAATTAAGAAGGCACTGGCGCTTTGCAATTTTAAGCTCATTTCTTTAGAACTGATGTTTGCCTTTAGTTTGTCCTTCCCCCACTCTTCTGATTAGCATGGTTGTCAATGTATGGTGTGAAAGAAGTTCAACATACATGCATAGACTCACACAGAGACCCATAGACTCGCACAGAGACCCATAGACTCGCACAGAGACCCACAGACTCACACGGAGACCCATAGACTCACACAGAGACCCATAGACTCACACAGAGACCCATAGACTCATCACACAGAGACCCATAGACTCATCACACAGAGACCCATAGACTCATCACACAGAGACCCATAGACTCAACACACAGAGACCCATAGACTCACCACACAGAGACCCATAGACTCACACAGAGACCCATAGACTCATCACACAGAGACCCATAGACTCATCACACAGAGACCCATAGACTCATCACACAGAGACCCATAGACTCATCACACAGAGACCCATAGACTCATCACACAGAGACCCATAGACTCACACAGAGACCCATAGACTCATCACACAGAGACCCATAGACTCATCACACAGAGACCCATAGACTCATCACATAGAGACCCATAGACTCAAACGAACATCTGTCGTTGCCATCGCGGTCCTCGTAATCGTCGTTGTCGTTGTGGTCGGCACGGCAACATCAGTGGCTCGGCGCTCAATGGCAGTAGCGTCATTTCGGTCGTCTCTGTCTTAGTCCGCGTTGTCGTTACTGTTGGCAGCATCAGGTATAGCAGCAGGCATAGCAATAGCAGCACAAGCGCTATGAGCAGCAGCAATATCATCAGCGACATCATCACCTTCAGTGGCAGCGGCAACAGGGTGGGCGCAGTGGTAACCCTCGCGCCTCACACCAAGAATACCCTGGGTTCGATTCCCAACTCGGGCGCCTATCCACGTGGAGTTTGTACATTCTCCCCCACCCTGTTCTCCGTTGGTTACCTCTGAGTTATTTGCTTTCCTCCCATAGCTATAAATAAACACATACAACGAGAAACTGGTATTGGTAAAAAAATAATTTACCAGCTATAAGCTTCTTTTTCAGAAGCAAACTGGCCACAAATGATAGCTCCACTAAGTAACTCATCATGTGTAAATTTAAGGCAGCCAAATTATCGAAGTAATATAAAAGCACGTTTCAAAATGTGAGGGGGAAAAAACCGGAGGACTCGGATTTTTATTATCATCGTGTATCCCTTCTGTATGCTTCAGAGTGTTGCCCCCTTCGTCTCCATTAAGTCTACGAGTGCGCCGGTTTCCTGCCACGTGCATAAACACCCATCAATTGGCGCGATCCCAGACAGCGGCTATCGGCGGTGCGGCGCACCTCGTCAACTTCAGAGGCAGCGACACCATGGCCGGCGTCATGCTACTGCGCCGCTACTACGGCTGCCCCATGGCCGGACACTCCATCCCCGCCGCCGAACACAGGTGACCCCGATCACAGCTGCGCCTCTGGAGAATCGTGACCTGTGTCAGTTGTATCACCTGTGCCACCTGTATCGCCTGTGCCACCTGTACCGCCTGTGCCGCCTGTGTCACCTGTGTCACCTGTGTCACCTGTGCTGCCTGTGTCACCTGTGCTGCCTGTGTCACCTGTGTCACCTGTGCTGCCTGTGTCACCTGTGCCACCTGTGCTGCCTGTGTCACCTGTGCTGCCTGTGTCACCTGTGCTGCCTGTGTCACCTGTGTCACCTGTGCTGCCTGTGTCACCTGTGCCGCCTGTACCGCCTGTGCCACCTGTGCTGCCTGTGCCACCTGTACCGCCTGTGCCACCTGTGCCACCTGTGTCACCTGTGCTGCCTGTGCCGCCTGTACCGCCTGTGCTGCCTGTGTCACCTTGTCACCTGTCCCATCTGTGTCACCTGTGTCAGCTGTATCACCTGTGCCACCTGTGTCGCCTGTGCCACTTGTGCCGCCTGTGTCACCTTGCCACCTGTCCCACCAGTGCGGGTTCGACCTGGGCAGGCCGGGAAATGGCGGCTGAGTCCGGGTGGGCAAGGATTGATTTGTACTGCGATCTGGTGGCGGTGGTATTGTGTCGAGCTTGAGTACGGTACGATCAATGATTGGTTTCTGCTTGGGTGTAGATCGTGTGGGTATGACGTCAGTTAGAGCTCTCCACCATCCAAAATCAGGTTGTCACCTGGACAAATGTGCCAACTGATGTTGTGTTTTCTCCAAACTGGTGGCAAAAGCAAGTGATATTTAATAATTTTGCATACGACGTGTCGTCGGTGTTAGCAAGATCTCAGATCACTCAGATCACTGAGCTCTGAACTCAGATCACCAAAATCATTTGCTTCCTTTTTCGCGTAACACGTATCAACAAATATCCGCTGTGCCACCTTGGTGGACAGCGAATGTCTGCTGAGCCTTCTTGTCGGGAACAAACGCTTGCTGGCACGGTTGGGTACCCACCGTCGTGGTGCTGCCGTGTGGCCAGCAGCACGGTGACGGCGTGGGGGCGTGAGCGGGAGGGCGCGGCGTTCCGCCACCTGCTGCAGCAGTTCCCGTCGGGCGCCGTGTCCGTGGTGAGCGACAGCTACGACATCTTCCACGCGTGCCGCGAGCTCTGGGGCCGCGAGCTGCGGACGCTCGTGGAGGAGCGCAGCCTGGTCGGGGGGCAGCTCCTCATCCGCCCCGACTCGGGTGACCCTGCCGACACCGTGCTCAAGGCAAGGCGAGGCGGTGGCGACGGTTGTGGCGGTGGTGTTGGCGATGACGGGCGTGTGTATGCATGTTTGCACTTTTTTTGCACCTTACCTAGTCAACCGTGCTAATCGAAGGTACGTACTACCACTGTAGCGACAGTGGAGTGACAGTGGTAGTGGCGGTGGTGGTGGCGGTGGTGGTGATACAGAACCGGACCACATTGCCAATCGTGGCCTAGAATTGGGCCATTCCTGTTCCTGGCACAGATAGCAGCAACATTGCACCCTACTGGCAGACCAGGGGCAGCTACCACCAGGGGTCCCCTTGGCTAGGCTGCGGCAAGGCGCTTCCAGACGTCCTGCATGGGAGGTGCAGCATACACGTAAAATAACGACGACGATGACGACGATGATGGCAACGTTCGCTCCGTAGGTGTTGAACATCCTGGGCAAGGCGTTTGGCACGGTGGTGAACGAGAAGGGCTACATGGTGCTGCCGGATTGCCTCCGCATCATCCAGGGTGACGGCATCGACATCAGCTCCCTCAAGCGGGTGAGCAAAGATCCCCGGCGGGTGTCCCTCGCTTCCGTGTTCCCCGTGCCCCTCCCTCCACCCACTCCTCCGGTCCTCCCGCTCGTTCTGTCCCTCCCCCCACCGGCCCTACGGAGAGTGGGGGATGGCGCACCCCCTGCCAGCGGGATCGGTGGCGTCTCCCTGGCCACGCGAATCGCGTCCCCTCTCAGAGACGTCTGTGGTCGTGGCTCTAATTCCATTTGGCGCTGTCCGTGATATTTACTCAAAAACGTGTTAGTCTATGGGCCATGTTAGTCTATGGGCAATGTTAGTCTATGGGCGATGTTAGTCCATGGGCAATGTTAGTCTATGGGCCATGTTAGTCTATGGGCGATGTTAGTCCGTGGGCAATGTTAGTCTATGGGCCATGTTAGTCTATGGGCCATGTTAGTCCATGGGCCATGTTAGTCTATGGGCCATGTTAGTCCGTGGGCAATGTTAGTCTATGGGCGATGTTAGTCCATGGGCCATGTTAGTCTATGGGCCATGTTAGTCCGTGGGCAATGTTAGTCTATGGGCAATGTTAGTCTATGGGCAATGTTAGTCCATGGGCCATGTTAGTCTATGGGCCATGTTAGTCCGTGGGCCATGTTAGTCTATGGGCGATGTTAGTCCATGGGCCATGTTAGTCTATGGGCCATGTTAGTCCGTGGGCAATGTTAGTCTATGGGCGATGTTAGTCCATGGGCCATGTTAGTCTATGGGCCATGTTAGTCCGTGGGCAATGTTAGTCTATGGGCAATGTTAGTCTATGGGCAATGTTAGTCCATGGGCCATGTTAGTCTATGGGCCATGTTAGTCCGTGGGCCATGTTAGTCTATGGGCGATGTTAGTCCATGGGCCATGTTAGTCTATGGGCCATGTTAGTCCGTGGGCAATGTTAGTCTATGGGCGATGTTAGTCCATGGGCCATGTTAGTCTATGGGCCATGTTAGTCCGTGGGCAATGTTAGTCTATGGGCAATGTTAGTCTATGGGCAATGTTAGTCCATGGGCCATGTTAGTCTATGGGCCATGTTAGTCCGTGGGCCATGTTAGTCTATGGGCGATGTTAGTCCATGGGCCATGTTAGTCTATGGGCCATGTTAGTCCGTGGGCAATGTTAGTCTATGGGCAATGTTAGTCTATGGGCAATGTTAGTCTATGGGCCATGTTAGTCTATGGGCCATGTTAGTCCATGGGCAATGTTAGTCTATGGGAAATGTTAGTCCGTGGGTAATGTTAGTCTATGGGCAATGTTAGTCTATGGGCCATGTTAGTCTATGGGCGATGTTAGTCCGTGGGCAAAGTTAGTCTATGGGCCATGTTAGTCTATGGGCGATGTTAGTCCATGGGCAATGTGAGTCTATGGGCAGTGTTAGTCCGTGGGCCATGTTAGTCTATGGGCCATGTTAGTCCGTGGGTAATGTTAGTCTATGGGCAATGTTAGTCTATGGGCCATGTTAGTCTATGGGCGATGTTAGTCCGTGGGCAAAGTTAGTCTATGGGCCATGTTAGTCTATGGGCGATGTTAGTCTATGGGCAATGTTAGTCTATGGGCAGTGTTAGTCTATGGGCGATGTTAGTCTATGGGCGATGTTAGTCTATGGGCGATGTTAGTCTATGTGCCATGTTAGTCTATGGGTGATGTTAGTCTATGGGCAATGTGAGTCTATGGGCGATGTTAGTCTATGGGCCATGCTAGTCCATGGGCGATGTTAGTCTATAGTTGATGTTAGTCTATGGGCAATGTTAGTCTATGGGCGATGTTAGTCTATGGGCAATGTCAGTCTATGGGCAATGTTAGTCTATGGGCGATGTTAGTCTATGGGTGATGTTAGTCTATGGGCAATGTTAGTCTATGGGCGATGTTAGTCTATGGGCAATGTGAGTCTATGGGCAATGTTAGTATATGGGCCATGTTAGTCTATGGGTGATGTTAGTCTATGGGCGATGTTAGTCTATAGTTGATGTTAGTCTATGGGCGATGTTAGTCCGTGGGCAATGTTAGTCTATGGGGCATGTTAGTCTATGGGCAGTGTTAGTCTATGGGCAATGTTAGTCTATGGGCAGTGTTAGTCTATGGGCAGTGTTAGTCTATGGGCAATGCTAGACTATGGGCAATGTTAGTCTATGGGCAATGTTAGTCTATAGTTGATGTTAGTCTATGGGCGATATTAGTCTATGGGCGATGTTAGTCTATGGGCAATGTGAGTCTATGGGCAATGTTAGTCTATGGGCGATGTTAGTATATGGGCAATGTTAGTATATGGGCCATGTTAGTCTATGGGCGATGTTAGTCTATGGGCAATGTTAGTCTATGGGCAATGTTAGTCTATGGGCGATGTTAGTCTATGGGCAATGTGAGTCTATGGGCAATGTTAGTCTATGGGCGATGTTAGTATATGGGCAATGTTAGTATATGGGCCATGTTAGTCTATGGGCGATGTTAGTCTATGGGTGATGTTAGTCTATGGGCAATGTTAGTCTGTGGGCGATGTTAGTCTATGGGCAATGTGAGTCTATGGGCAATGTTAGTCTATGGGCAATGTTAGTCTATGGGCGATGTTAGTCCATGGGCGATGTTAGTCTATGGGCGATGTTAGTCTGTGGGCGATGTTAGTCTATGGGCGATGTTAGTCTATGGGCAATGTTAGTCTATGGGTGATGTTAGTCCATGGGCGATGTTAGTCTATGGGTGATGTTAGTCTATGGGCAATGTTAGTCTATGGGCAATGTGAGTCTATGGGCGATGTTAGTCTATGTGCCATGTTAGTCTATGGGTGATGTTAGTGTACATCTCTATCTACGTAAGCTGTGTCCTTTTTAAAAAAACGTTGGTGATCATCTCCTTCCTTCCATTTAGCGCCGTCCGTGATATTTACTCAATAGCATTGTATAGGATGCTCCTTCCATTTGCGTCCAGTTGTTCAAGTCGCTTCTGTAACTTAATTCCTTGCCTTCCTCAGCTACTTGTGGTGCCTAATAATTGTCCTAGTCAAAACTCACTCATATCATTTATCGTTTTCTCATCACAAGTTCAAGATATCCAACGTTGCCTTTTTCTTATCGTTCTTGTTGTGTACACGGCTCGCTATCCGCTGGCAGGTTCTGGACGCGGTGGAGAATGCCGGCTGGAGTGCTGCGAACCTGTTCTTTGGGAGCGGCGGTTCCCTGCTGCAGAAAGTCAACCGCGACACCCTCAACTGCTGCTTCAAGTGCAGCTACGCCGAGTTCGACGGACAAGGGGTGGGCGCCAATGGCAAAGATCCCCCGCGTAGCCTTAACGGACCTTTGGGGCAAGTGCCGTTGGTTAGCGAGTAGCACCAAATGGTGGCCGGCACGGCGCACGAGGGAGGCAAGTGACAATGTGTGCGCACCGCACCAGGTGCTCATTTAAGTCTGAGTCCATCTAGGGGAAGCCCAGGTCCGGACAGACACAAAGACAGAGCCCCCGTATAGGCGTTTAACAGACTCTTGGAGCAAGTTCTGTTAGGAACGGTGTGCATATGATGTTCAATGAATGGTCGTTGTAGGATAGTTGAGTGGTGTTGCATTCGGTGTTTTCTATGGAATGGGTTGGGTGCTGTAGGGTGCTCGGGTGCCTATGGGATATCCTGGTGGAGGAACCGTGGGTGTGTGTGTGTGTGTGTGCCTGCAGGTCGATGTTTACAAGCAGCCAGTGACAGACCCCAGCAAGTGCTCCAAGCGGGGACAGCTGTCCCTGCAGAAGACCATCGATGGGCAGCTGGTGACCGTGGAGGGCGGCAAGGGAGATCAGGACACGGTAAACGCGGTGGCAGGGCGTGGTCGGCGTGCAGCCTGAGGAGCCACGGTGGCTAGGATATGTTAACTTCCTTGGCTGGTATGCAAGAGGTCGTAGGTTCGATCCTGACCCTGACCCTTGCTGTATATTTGGAGTTTGCGTGTTCTTTCTCCCCGTGGCCACGTGGATTTTTCTCCAGGTCCTCCGCGTTTTGCCTCCACATTTAGAAACATGCGTTTAGTGTTATTTAGCTGCTATGAATTCCACATGATAAGTGACTTCATTGAGCTATCATTTGTGGCCAGGTCGCTTCTGAAAAAGAGCTACGTAGCTCACTGGGTCTTACTGGTAAAATTTAAGTAGTTTATAGTTGAAATCGTTTATAATTTTACACGAAATGCCCCATCACGTTACTTTTTCGGAAATGCTGCAAAGCCAGGAGAGATGATGATGTTTTTGGGATGCCTTTATCCAGGAGTAAATAGATCATGAAATGAGAATATATATACGCGTAATAATCTAAATATTTAGTTGTATAACTAACAACTAAATTGTATCTCACAAACACTGAGGAACCACAGAGAAGCTGGTGAGCAGCCAAGTGGTGAACCGGTGCCGACAATTGCCTAAGCTCTGCAGTGCTCTATATATTAAGATATTTTCAGGCAATGAATGAGGGTTTTATTAATGCGGGAGGAAACCGGAGCACCCGTAGGAAACCCAGTGCATGCGAGGGGGACGTGCGGGGGTGACGGGACGAATTTTGCCGCCACTTTTGGGTTTTACGTCTTCCACGTTTGTGCAAATGCCCGAGGATGCACGTCTACACGAGGATGCACAGATACACGAGGATGCACTTCTACACGAGGATGCACAGATACACGTGGATGCACAGATACACGAGGATGCACTTCTACACGAGGATGCACAGATACACGAGGATGCACGACGCTACTTTGTGGGACCACTTTCCAGTCACTTTGGGTCGGGTCAATCATACAGATGAGTGCACATAAGTGGATGAATTTCCGCCAGCTTCTGGGTTACTCCTCATATCCGCATAATGGGAGCAAGGTGCACGCCCGGACGACAGAGTTGGATATCGTCATGGTGGGTAACGGGAAATATCGGCCCTCGCAGTTGCCGAGCCGTAGGCTCAGAAACGTAAAGCGTCCAGCAACAAACAGCGCTGTCGAAGTTGTAATAGGTGAGAGTTAACACGTGTGTTGATGAGTAGGGCTGTGAGAGCGGTGAAGGGGCGGGGGGGCGGGAGAGAAGATGATGGCGTGAGGGAAATCAAAGGTGGAGCAGTGTGAGGGAAGAAGGAGAAAGAGAAGTGAGGTGACCTGCAGCGTGGTGCTGTTGTATGTGGATGGTCTTACAATATTGATATCTAAATTAATTGATTCTCGCAAGCTCGTGTCTAGGGGTTTTCGTACATCAATTATAAGACCACCTCCACAATTGATACCAGGTTCATAGATCTGTCCAGCAGTACAGGCCTTTTCAAGCAATACGACCCATGAAATAGTAATAAACCACTCGGACACTCAGTACACTACAAACCTGAATATTTAATAGATCAAAGCATCAACTAGTGCCATAATCACGTCAACTCTGCATCATTATACTTCTACAGTATGCATGAAAAACACGCGACCAACTAACGCAACTGTAGGAACCAATATATGATAAAGACAAGTATGAATGTCTAGATGTATAAGCAGCTAACGTATGAGCCCTCTAAAGTACTCCCCCCTCTTCAGTGATGTCATGAAGTATTGTTATAAGTAGAAAATATCTGTTACAAGATAACCGCTAGATGTTTCCTCTGTGAGCAAGCACCAATACCTCCTCCGCATTGGTGAGGTTAAGGTAGCAGTCTCTCGCCGTTCTTGGCTTGCAATCACTCAGACAGTCTGCAGCCGGCTAAGCCTCTGCATGCACTGTCTCTATGGGCGATGTTAGTCTGCCAGTGAGGGTGCAGTTCGCTCCTTCGGTGTGTGCTGCGCTGGAGCCCCAATCGCTGATGAGGCTCGTAGACCGCTGGTCATGCCCACGCTGGTGTAAGTCAGATGCCCATCACCCCCGCCCCGCCCCCGCGTTGTCTTCAGTGTCAGGCACGAAGGTTTCTGCACCACTCTGACCTTTCACCTCTCAGGCGATAAATCAGACTCGATATGCCTTATATCAGACTCACAAAGCAAAGACGTAGCAATGTGCCCACGTATATGTGTTGCACTCCTTAACAGAATATCAAAACCAACCCACATTTGCAACTACTAAAAGATATGCAAACCTTATTATATAGCCTTAACAAAATATGGGAACGCACCAGCGTTAGAACTAAAAAATGTACTCTCCAAGAACTTAACAGAATGCAGAAAATATCGGAAAAACCAAATGGTCCTCTACCAGTCTGGAAAAACAAAGACTGTGCACATCACAACAGGCCGAACAATATATCAAGAAACAATAATTCTACCAGTAATATATCAGAACAATTATCGTTTTGCCAGTCGATTATCTTGGTGAGGTCGCCCATGGGAGCCATGCCCTTCGCATAGACTGACTTGAGAACAAAGAGTTTAATATTAAATGGAAATTTCCAATCTTGAAATCACGCCCCTTCTCATGAATATTAATTACTGTTAATTCAACTAGACGATGTAGAACCTAAGTCTTTGGACTTGGAGGCTGGATGTTATAACCAAGTGTAGTGAGCGACTTCCGAGACACGACGTGTAGAGGGCTCCTTATTTATTTCTCACACTTACAGGCACAATCACTGAGCAACACATATATATACGGGGCTATGCATAGCTGACCCATCCACACAGCCCCATCGTCGGCATCTAACTCTATAGCTGGCTGACTAATATAGCGATGACGACGACGATGGGAGCCGTACAGTGGATCGGCCACGCGGCCGGACGATGAAGAAGAGATGACGGCGAAGACAGCGACGGCAGCCAGGGCCCGGACCCCATGACAGCCCCGAACCTTCGGTCACTTCCCCCCTATATACTCCTCGGCGTGGCCACGCCCCGCTTCTGGCCACGCCCCCTTCTAGAACCTTCGAGTAGGTTCCCGGAGCTTCCCGACTGACCCCGCATTTAACCTTTAACCCAGTTACGCCCCCCTTATAATTGGTTATTGGTTATTATATAACACACCCATACCCGTGATTATCCCTCCTGGTCAACAGATGGCACCCTGTCGGGTGCATTTGAGGGCGAGCAGGTGCAAGCGTAAAGACATGGAGTGGCCGCCAGAGAGGTGCCTGCAATTAGGGGGAAAGCAGTAATTAACAGGGTGCATTTGGGGGACAGGCAGGTGCGAGCGTGGGAACACGGGGTAGACGCCAGAGAGGCGGGAGATGGAGATGTTAAGAGAGCACGTGCAGGAGGCACCGGTGAGGCACCAGCTTAATAGGGTGTAACTGAGGACCCTTAAAGAGGAGGGGGATATCAGGGTGTGTGCGGAGCAACTCGGGGTTGTTGGTTGGAGCTGAAGGAATGAAGAGGACAAGAGCCGGGGAGAAGAAGCCTGGGACCTTGACCTCTACACCTCGCCCTCTACACCTCGTCCTCCCCAGCGGTGTTGTCTGATCCCCTGCTGGGGCAAGGACGAGGTGGAGGTGTGAGAGAAGAGTGACAGGTTAGCGGAGTATAGAGTGACAGGCTAACGGAGTATGGAGTGACAGGCTTGCGGAGTACAGAGTGACAGGCTACCGGAGTATGGAGTGACAGGCTAATGGAGTATGGAGTGACAGGCTCACGGAGTATGGAGTGACAGGCTCACGGAGTATGGAGTGACAGGCTCACGGAGTATGGAGTGACAGGCTAGCGGAGTGTAGAGTGACAGGCTAGCAGAGAGAGGGAGTTGGGAGCAAGGCTGTGTTGTGTTAGTGCGAGGAGCATTCATACGGGATGCGAAGTAATACAATGACACAGGAGAAAAGCTAAAAGTGTCCGTGTGAATACACCACTGCACATGTATGATGTTTGCTACTTCTTGCAAGTGTAGTGACTGACTCAGAGACACTAACAGTAGGAGGCACTCTGTTTATTAACAGCCTTAAAAGTTCACACTTATTAACTACAGCTGCCAGTCAGGACAGCTGGCAGACTGCCTGACTGACGACGCCGAGATGGTGAAGACAGCGGCGAAGGCTCCGGCAGCGCGACGAGGGGATCCCGCTCCAGGCAACAGCCCCGAGCCTCCGCTCGAGGTCCCCTTTTATCTTCCCAGCGTGGCCTTGCACCGCCCCAGCCACGCCCCCTTTCTGTAACCTACTAGGGGGTTCCCGGGCTTCCCTCACGTGCACCTTTCCCCTACATCCCTCTCTCTGGTCTATCACGTGACCTGCTGTCAGTCATGGCTGCTGTAATTTCAGATTCCCTTCCCTGCCAGCAACAATTCTATGCTGCTAAGTGAGCGATTCTATGTGACTACACAAGGACCAACATTTTAACTAACTTATTTCTGACAAAGGGCCTATGTCCCGTGAAGTTCTCAGGTGCGATATCTCTTATTTATATATTTCTTGACATGAGAATGAAAGCCTCCCTTTCGAGACCATAACTCTGCTGAGAGGAATGAAGGCCCTGTTAATGAGCTCAACATGTATGTCGTATAAAAGAGAGCACCTTAAAGACACTTGTGATGAACAATGCTCAATCTAATATTCATTACGTATTCATTATCATCAATGGGTACACAGCGAGCAGTGAGTGGGTGGGTAAGTGGGTGAGTGATTAATTGAGTGGGTAGGTGGATAAGTGAGTGGGTGAGTGGGTTGTTGTCACCTGCAGTTTTTGACAGTGTGGTGGATGAGAATAAACCGTCAGTGTCCCATAGACCGAGATCTCAATGCACTCCTATCCTGTGCTGAACACGCCGTGCGGTGACGCCATGCAACATGCTAGGCATTATGGGAGGACCGACCCCTGTGGTCACATTCATACAGTACCTATTGCTGTCTGGAAATCACCATTTGTGTGTACATGCATTCCTATTCCTCACGGCCTCTGACCATCTCTCTCTCTCTGTCCGTGCCATGTGCAGGATCTGCTGAGAATCGTGTTTGAGGATGGACAGCTTCTCCGGGACTTCTCTCTCGAGGAAATCCGGGTGAATGCCGCCCTCCGAGAGGAAGATTTTTCTCCCGACCCGAACCCCGACGTCATCCTCCAGTGAATAACCGTCGTCGAGTCTCGGTTATCTGGGGCAACGGCGGCGGCCAGGATTATACGACAAAAGAATACAAACACGGGTATTGCAAAAGCGGCGTAAAGGACATCTAAACAACCGTACCAGTGGGTTATCCTGGGATCACGACCCCGACGGAACGAAGATGCGGAGATTTGCGGAACGCGAAGCGACTGCGCGGTTGTCCGGGTCGGCCTGCGCGTCGAGAATTTCTCCCCCTCAAGCCTCCGCGACGTGGCGGCGCAGTGGCACTGCAACTCGCGCATCCCCAGACAGAGAGAGCCGCCGTAATGCCCGTGGAATTGCCCGTGGTAGTGTGCTTGGCACAAACTCGACACACGAAATGCTCAACTCGTGGATTGCAGGCGGCCGTAGCGAACAACTTGGCACGCTCATTCGAAACGAGCGATTTAAGATGAGTCTTTGAAACATTTCTAGCATCGTGGTCCAAATTTCCAATTTCCAACATTTAATAAATGTACATAATTGGTAAAAGCCAGATGAGCAATATCGGCCCGGCTATTCAAACCTAACTAAACTAAACTTTTTTATTTTACCAGGTAAGCCCCACTGAACTATATAGCTCTTGTTCTTGGTTCTTTCGGTAAAGTCACATAGAAGGGAAACAATAAAATAATGAAAACATAAAACAAAATTCTCACAACGTTTCAACTGCAACACAAGCAATCATCATCAGGTGTGAAAACTACAGCAAGAAATTTTTAAAAAAGTGGCGGGTTTTTCACACCTGATGATGATTGCTTGTGTTGCAGTCGAAACGTCGTGAGAATTGTATTGTTTTATATTTTTATTATTTTATTGTTTCCCTTCTACGTGACTTTACCAAAAGAACCAAGAATATGAATCCCTGCAGTCACGAAAGCTTTAAATCAAAATTTATATAGCTCTTTTTCAGAAGCTACCTGGTCACAAGTGATACCTCACTCGAAGTGTTTTATCATGTGGAAATGTAAAGCACGTTAATTCTAAATTTGGAGGGAAAACCCGAAGGATCCGGAGAAAAATCCACGCGACCACGGAGAGAGAGAACACGCAAACTCAAAATATGAGGGCATTGTCCCGGTCGTGATCGAGCCCACGACCTTCTCCATACCAGGCGAGGTAGTTCACATCTCGCCATTTTCTGGCCGATGCTGCGTCCAGCTTGCACTGCACATGGTGGACGGCTGCCACCGTGGGTCCCCCCTCGGCTGGACTTCCGCAGGACGCTTGGAGGTATCCTGCATGGAGAGCACGGTACAAATGCTAAGTGACGACGATGGTGATTACCCCCGTAGAAGGGGGGTGACGATGTAAAATGTGCCATCGATTTAAATGTCTTGAAGTATTTGGTTTACGTGCTCCGACGTGCTTGCGGTCACGAGTGCACGGAGTCACACGCCCCTGGCAAGTGAGGAGCAGCTGATAAATAGAAACAGTGCCACGCGTTGGAAAATAAATATTTCGTTATTTCTTCACAAACACGGTTGATTAACCCTCAACCAGGATGACTACGGATACGAGTTAGACGTACAAAATGTTACAACGTTAACGTTCTTATTATCATAATCATTATTACGACTGCTTGTGTGTTTTAAATTTCTTTTAAAGAAATTTCTGGGAATTTTTTTTAAAGCTTAAATGTTGCGAACCTCATTTTAATGTGCTTGTGTGCCTGTGCGCCCGCACATCAATTAGCAATGCAACGCTTCATCAAAACTTCGATGGAGAATCTTGCGCTCGCGATACGTGCAGCGAATCGCTCATCCAGGAGACGGTTATTAAAAAATCTTTGCAAGTTATCATCATCACGAGGGTGCTGCCGCGGTGATGCAATAGGCAGCAACACTGGACTCGCAATCCAGTGGGTCAACGGTTTGATCTCCAGGCGCGGCAGTTGAAACAACGGTGCAAGTTTTTTTCTTAAATTCACATCCCCCCCCCCCCTCTGCGCCTCTGTCCACCCATCGTGGTCGATCTGCAGGTTACGCGTGGTGGGGTAAAATGTGTGGGTACTCCCACCTCTTTTAGATGTCTGGCCCCAATGTGGGAGAGTTGGCCGTATACCTGTGGAGGACCTTCGACCAACAGTGGCGTGAGCGAGCCGACGACACCTTTTGCCTCTGTCGATAAGCACGCAAGTTAAACGGACCCCTTATCGATTACTTTGGAAACATTGTTTAGAGCAAAGCTTCTCAGGGAAAGGAATTGCATGGAGGATATGAACTATTAAACTTTTTTTAAAAAAATTGTGAGTGCGGAGTGATTTGATTGAAATCGGCTGTACGTGTACGCACGCGCGTCGACCGACGTGGGAATCGCGCCAGCTCGGTCGGCGCTTCAACCGGGGGTCGTGCAACGCCGGGGATCGACCCAGCGACAGCTGCGGGACAAACTCGAGCTGCCCCCCCCCTCCCCCGCCAACCCTCCTCCCGACATCGCGTTGCCATAATTTCAATCAGCTCAAGTTTGACTGATACTCTGGGGGTGGAGCCAGAATTGCACCGTTGCCAACCCGGTAAAACGTGCAACGTTGGGCCAACGATGGCATATGCTGTATACGCTTGCAACCGTTGGTGGAGCATAAACAGCCATCATCACGCAGGACTTCGGTCATCCACGCAGCAGCGGCTTTTTCGGCTGGCCGTCGGACAAGGACGGGTCACCGCTTCACGCCGCGCTTTCTGGAACGCTCTTCCGAAGTTAGGAAGCTACTGGAGCTGTGAAGTGTTAAATAATCTAGATTGAATACTAGTTTCTTCAGAAATGCGTTTTTGTGTTTAGTTTGTCCTTGCCTCGCACCTGCAATTAGCACGGTTGGCTACGTACGGTGCGACAATTTCAACATTCATACAACTTTGGACGAACGTTGGACTAACATTCGATGTTTTACTGGGGATTGCGCTTCACAGGCTGGCCTGAATTTCATACAGAGCCCGTGCTAGGCGGATGCTGGAGGGGGCCCTGCACCACGAAATGCCCCCCCCCCCCCCGGCACAACCAAGTTCATGTTGCTCCCTAGCGGTGAATCACTCGCTGTGATGGTGGCCCCCCACAACAGCTGTTCTACTGACCCCCCCCCCGTTAATCTGTGAGGAGCTGGAACCGGGCCTATGCAATGGCGGAGCTAGGATTTTCAGGTAGAGGGGCAACCCCTCCAGCAATGAAAAATGATAGAGGAGTTGTTCGTAAGTAAGGACAGAAAAGGAGGAGGGGGCCTTGGCTGGCCGTGGTAACGAAGGTGACGAGTGTAGAGTTAGTACTTTGTAACGACTTGGATCGTTATGGTGGACGATTCGTCCTGTCGACTTGTTATTTATTTAAAAAATACGAAATAAATGTCTGAGTTTTGTTCGTCTTTACTCTTTTTATATATTGAAATGTTTTAAATATCGTTTTCATTGTGCGTTGTTATGGTTGTGACGCTGCACAGACAAACCTCTGTGCTAACCCGCGGTCTTGTGACCTTGTAAACCCTTCCACTTACGAACGAGTTAGGTTATATGAGTTCTGTTCGTAAGTCCATTTGTTCGCATGTCCATGTTTTACTCCGGCATGTACACTAAACACGGGGAATGGCTTTAACAGTTGTATAATCTCCTGTAGATGTCACTGATTTTTCATCTTCTGCAGATGTAGATGCCACTGGGTCTTTATGTCCTGCAGATGTAGATGCCACTGGTTCGTCACGTTCTGTAGATGTAGATGCCACTGGTTCTTCATGTTCTGCAGATGTAGATACACAAGTTCTTCATGTTCTGCAGATGTAGATGCCACTAGTTCTTTATGTTCTGCAGATGTAGATGCCACTGGTTCTTCATGTTCTGCAGATGTAGATGTTACTGGTTCTTCATGTTCTGCAGATGTAGATGCCACTGGTTCTTCATGTTCTGCAGATGAAGATGCCACTGGTTCTTCATGTTCTGCAGATGTAGATGCCACTGGTTCTTTATGTCCTGCAGATGTAGATGTAACTGGTTCTTTATGTTCTGCAGATGTAGATGCCACTGGTTCTTCATGTCCTGCAGATATAGATGCCACTGGTTCTTTATGTCCTGCAGATTTAGATGCCACTGGTTCTTTATGTTCTGCAGATGTAGATGCCACTGGTTCTTCATGTTCTGCAGATGTAGATGCCACTGGTTCTTCATGTTCTGCAGATATAGATGCCACTGGTTCTTCATGTCCTGCAGATGTAGATGCCACTGGTTCTTCATGTTCTGCAGATGTAGATGCCACTGGTTCTTCATGTTCTGCAGATGAAGATGCCACTGGTTCTTCATGTTCTGCAGATGTAGATGCCACTGGTTCTTCATGTTCTGCAGATGTAGATGCTCGTTCCCTTGGTGCTCGTGTTTCCTCTGTACTCTCTTGAAAAAAACTTACCAAGAAATGTCAGCACAGTTGCTCTCTTCTTCTCTTCATAAATCAACTTGTAACAGGCAATAGCATATTGAACAGCTGCAACTGGGCATACGGACAGGTTTGTTCGTACCTCTGAAAGTTCGTAAGTCGATTTGTTTGTAAGTAGAGGAGTCTCTTACGGTATTTATCATCGATCGCTCTATCGTTCACACCAGCATCACCACCAGTCATCAACTCAGCTACCCCTCCCCCCCCCATGGACTGCATTCGCTAAAGATGAACATGCGGAAAAAAATCGGCGGTCGGGGTTTCTGCTGTCTGTCTCTCACGTCAACGCTAGGTGGAGACGCGTCCACCCACCTCTGCCTGCAAATTTTGACGGAATCGTCGTCATTGCTGTGAACCGTACGAAAAAATGTTGGTTTTGAAGTTTAACGCCTGTCGTGGAAGCAAAAGGAATGGCGTGGACTTAATTTCGGTCGTTAAAATTAAAAGTCTCTCCGCGTTGTGAACGTCCTGAATGAATATTCTGCCTGATGACGACCGCTTGTGTTGCGATCGAAACGCCGTGATTTGTTTTATTTTATTTCTACCTACGTGACTTTACCGAAAGAACCAAAGAGTATGGATTCCTGCAGTCACGAAAGCTTCAAATCAAGATCCTTAATTAATGATTGCTGCCCCTGAATGATTGGTGGGGCCTGTGTCTCGCATTTGACTGAAGGCTGTCGCACCTGCAGCCTGTGGAGTTCAGTGCCTCTGATGAGTGAGCAGCCCGCCCTGTGGACGAGGTGAAACCTCTCACGTGACCCCTCGTCAGACATTCACCAACTCATCTGACCGTCACCACTCATCAATTCACCTGACCCTCACCTCTCATCAATTATCAACTCACCTGACCCTCACCACTCATCAATTCACCTGACCCTCACCTCTCATCAATTATCAACTCACCTGACCCTCATCACTCATCAATTCGCCTGACGCTCACCACTCATCAATTATGAACTCACAGTATATACATCAAGGCCGTAATTATAATATATATTGGGGGGGGACACATCCCTCTCATTATTCAAATATGCTCAAAATGTCCCCCCCCCCCAATATTGCTATAAAATAAATTTCTGTTTATATTATTGTGGTTATGGTTGTACTTTATTAATCTCTAATATCTGCCATTACATAGAATGAAACAAGAAAAGTAAAAAAAGAAAAAAAACAGAGCAATGTAATACAATATACACTATTA